GTTTCGGCCAGGCAGGGGGTACAAAGGGTGAGTGGGCTAGCTATTTTGGAGGGATGCAATAGGTGGTTTATGGAGATGCAAAGGTGAGTGGGATTGCTGCCAAGGTGGGCCAATATGTCTTGTTTGTTTTCAGCTTGTTTCCTTACATATAATGGAGAGCATAATGGGGAACAAGTGTGGGGGTTGTGACATGGGTTTGGGCAGGTTTTTTGGGTGATTGTGTTCGGCTACAACAAGGGAAAAGGGGGCTGGTTGATTAGGCCATTATTGGGATTGTGATTATTAATCTAAAGTGGGTTCAAAAGATGGGGTAATGTGTGGGTTTTGGGTTTGGGAATTTCGGCCAAAGGTGAGGGCAGAAGAGGAGGGTTGGGTTGTGTTTTTAAAGGTTGGTTTGGATACTTAGGGTGTGGTGGTTTTGGCCAGGGTTGGGGTTCGGCCTCAAGGTGGGGAAGGATCCAAGGACATTTTGGTTAGGTTATGATTTTTAATGGTGATAAATTCACTCCAAAAAGGATCATAACACTTGGCCATTATTCCGTTGATTTGTTTAAGGACTTTAGAGTCGTTGGTGGTTACCCGGGGTATATCACGATGGGTAATTGACTCTACTTTTTTTAAAAAAATTTTAAACGGATTTTCAGAAACCCCTTACCCATCGCTGGGTATTCCATCCCATCGCTGGGGTGAAGGACTTTTGTCAAAAATATTTTTTCCCAGAACCTCCCTACCCATCGATGGGCAAATCCTCCCACCGCTGGGTGTTTGACACTAATTTTTTTTAAAAGGTTTTATCGGATTTCCAGTAGCCACTTTCCCATCGATAGGTGAATCCTACCATCGCTGGGAAGGCAGCCCTGTTCTCTCCTTCGCTTTCCAGTAGCGACCTTCCCATCGATGGGAAATCCTACCCATCGTTGGGAAGCCTGCTGGGATTCAAAATCTTTTGACCGTTGGGCAACGAATTTAATGCCCAACAGTCATATTTTTTGAACTCAATCCGGTTTCCACTCCTTCCCTATAAATATACACCATGTTTTATCATTCCTAATCACAAATCTTCATTCAAATTTCATACTTCTAAGCAAAATTCATTCTTTCTTCTTCAAAAGTGCTTCAACAATGGCGGGAGGAAAGTCCAAGAGCAAAGCTTCCAAGAAGAAGGTCACCGCCGAGGCCACGACCTCTGCGCCTCAACCCTTTCCGTACCTGGACGGATCCTTCCTCGAATTTGGCTCGGAGGAAGAACTTACCCGCTTCATCACCCACTTCGCCAAACGCCCCATCTCTCCGCCACGGGTGCTGCCCGAATTGTTCCCTCAGCAAAAAGGGTAACACGACCTAGACAATCAACTCAAAGAGTCGGGCTTATGGCCCTTCGTCTCCAAGAGCCGCACCTCCTTCAATCCCACCTATGTCCGGGCCTTCTACTCCAATCTCCACCGGGACGGGGACATCATTCGCAGTAGCATCAATCTCTACGACATAGAGATTGATTTGGCTACCTTTGCTCGGGTTGCAGAGCTGGCTACCCGCGGTGACGACATAGAGTCGTATGGTGGCGACGACTGGATTCTCAACAACGAGGCCGTCGTCATCCGAGAGCTCGGGATCACAAACTTGATCCGTCACAGCGGCGCACCAACGATTCACTCGGCTCCACAGGAGAAGCGCCTCCTTCTCTACATCCTCACTCGGATTCTCCGCCCCCGGGATGGTAGCCACACCTCGCTCTTCAACGACGACTTGAGGGCAATTCAAGTGATCATGCACGGCGCCTCCATCAATTGGGAAAAATACGTCATGATTCACATGGCAGATTCAGCCTCCATCACCACCGAACGGAGCTTGCCATACGCCTTCCTCGTCATGGACCTTATCGTCTCCGCCGACATCCACATCGTCGGGCCAAGCACGAAGATGACGAAGCTCTGGGTCATTGCCGACAACACCTTTAGGAAGAAGTCCGGAAACCGTAACGGCGCCGGAACGAGTCGTGCCCGTGCCCCTGAACCTGCCCCCGCCCCCGCTCCCGCTCGGGCCTCATTGCAGTCAATAGCCGACACTCTGAATCGGCTAACTCTCACAGTGGACGGCATGGGGCAGTACATGGAGAGGATGGACTGGACACTGCAACACCAACACCACGACATGAGGGCGTTCTTCCACGGCATCAACTACGTCCCGCCGCCCTTTGACAACACCTTTCTCGGCCAAAACTATGAAGGTGAGGACGAGGAGGATAACTCCTATGCTCCGTCCTCCTCCCCCGACAAGGCCGACTTTGAGGACGCGGTCGATGGGGATCCCATGGACGTCGAGGATGACGATGACACCGAGGACGAGGACGCCGATCCCTAGACTCTTCCTTTCCTTCATTTCCCTACTTTCATTGCATTTTTTATTTCAATTCCATTGTATTCCGCATTTTCTCCTCTTTTAATGAATAAAAGTTTACTTTTAAATTCTAAAGTTCACTTTTAATTCTTTTTGTTAATGTCAAAAGGGGGAAGATATCAAGGTTATGCAGAAATTGAGGTGGAACTTTTCTCAAATAAAATGGCATCTATTAAGGGGGAACATTTTTTTAATCTCATATGCATAACCTAATCTCATTTGCCATTATCAAAAAGGGGGAAATTGTTGAAACACGGGCTTGCCACGTTTTTTGTACTAAAGCCGTGTTTGTTTTTATGACAGGTTTTGATAATGCCAAACCGCCGTGATCAAGTCAAACATTGAATATACAAGGCGAAGAACGAAGACAAGAACAAGGGCTATACGAAGACCAAGAACGAAGACCTTAGTCTTCGCATCGTTGAGTCAGTCTTTATTGTGATCAAGACCGACCCAATCTTTACACCTTGGCTCTTTAGGCTAAAATCCTTCATTGCATTTTTTACATCATAAAAATGTTTTTAAAACTTGTTTAAGTCATTAAAAACACTTGGTTTTTTCCCAAACCAAAAACCAAGCCATCCGGGGTCCGGCTTTAAGAAACAGGCACTCGGCTTTCGGTTATCGACGTTGGTTTTTGGCGTACGAACCAACCAAGTGGTTTTCAACTTCTTATGATTGGTTTTCACTCTTTGGCATGTTTAAACGGTTCTCCAACAAAAACACTTTGAAAACCATCTTTCGCCTTTGGTCGTTTGACAAAAACCATGCAAAACGGCGTAAACTTGGCTAGCCGTGGTTTTTACTCAAATGACGTGGTTTTTAAAGTAACTCACTTGATTTCTTAGCCAAATACATCAAATAAGTGTTTTAAACACTTGGTTTTCATTTTGGAGAACTTTGGATTTTTTGGTCGGTTTTTGCATCGGTTGGCCAGGCCGTGGTTAAGGCAAAGACCATGGGTTTTTGGCTAACCACCCACCCAGCGATGGGAAGATCTTCCCATCGATGGGTAAGCAGTCCCTCAACCAAACCAATTTCCAGAACCATGCCAAACAGCGATGGGAAGTTCTACCCATCGCTGTTAAAGCCTTGGTGCCAAATTAACACAAGGCAGAACAACCTTGCCCAGCGATGGGAAACCTATCCCATCGATGGGAAAGCATGACCGTTGGAAGTCATTTAAGGTTGATTCTTTCCTTGTTTGGAAGTCAACCTCCCACCCAGCGATGGGAAGCTTGTACCCATCGATGGGTAGGTAACCGTTGGCTTCAAAACTGAAGGAAAATTGGCTTACCAGCGATGGGTAAGTTCCAAACATCGATGGGAAGCCAATATCCTGCAGATCCCAAATCTTTTCAATCCCATAAATCAAGCCAATCACCCCTTTAATGCATTGGTCTTTTGGAGCCTATTTTGGAACTATAAAAAGGGGTGTTTAAGTCTGCTTTTCTCACCAATTCACTTCACAATATTCATACTTTCATTGCATTCAAATAACATCATTTTCCATAGCTTTCTAGAGCCAAATTGTGTGAAGGTTGAGTTGTTCTTGAGCGTACTTAGTTTACTCATTATCTACTCTATAAGAGAGGCTTGTTCTTGAGTGTATTTGTGTTCTTAGACACGTTGAGAGAAAGTATTTCTCTCGGTTGATTTAAAGGAAGGGCTGTTTCTTTTGAAGGATTCGTTGAGGTTCGTGTGACTCGAACTCTCAAGTTGTAAGGGTTTGTTAAGCACCGTTAAGCTTAACGAGATAGTAGTGTAGCTCGAGAGAGTCTCTCAGGAGTCTGGATTAGCCACAAGTTGTGGTGAACCAGGGTAAAATTCGGTGTGCCTCTTACTCTTCTCTTTACTTCTCTTTTAATTTTTTAATTCCTGCGATTTCTACGATCAAGCGCTATTCACCCCTCCTCTAGTGTTGGTCTATTATTCTAACATCGGCAAGCTTATACAGCGACTCCCGCTTGGTTGTGGGGCAAATCAAAGGGGAGTTCAAAGCAAAGGAAGAGAGGATGAAAAGATATCGAGACCTGTCCTTAGAAATGCTAGGAAGGTTTGAGTTTGAGCTTGAACACATACCCCGGGCGCACAACGCGGAAGCTGATGTTCTGTCCAGGCTTAGTGCAGAATCGCCAGAATATATAAGCAAATTAGCAACGGTGGAAGAGTTGGCAACCCCGAGTCTCAACAGGGATGAAGTGCTCTGGGTGTCAGCTGATCCCCCAGAATGGTTAGACAAGTTAGCCAGATACATTGAAGACGGCGTGGCTCCGGAGGATCCCCAAGAAGCCCGGTTGCTGCGAATGAGAGCTCCCACCTACAAGGTGCAGGATGGAGTCCTTTATAAGCGGTCTTACAACGGCGTTTTGCTCCGCTGTCTCAGGGCAGCAGAGGCAAAGGTGCTTATGGAAGAGATACACGAAGGAGTATGTGCTGCACATCAGGGCCCATACTCTATCTCGAGAAGGGCGATAATCCAGGGATATTTCTGGCCAACAATGAGGAAGGATTGCGAGGAGTATGTGCGCAAGTTCCCAACTTGCCAACAGTTCCAGAATGTGCCCGGGAGACCAGCCACAAACTACACGCCCATCAGCTCTGTAATCCCTTTCTCCAAGTGGGGAATCGATATCGTGGGAGCCCTGCCAAAAGGGGTTGGACAGGTGATGGTGTAAATTACCATGCAAATGCTAAGTATAAATAATTAGAAGGGTTGTAGGTGGAAACACCTGTAACCCGGCTTGTTATTAATCTTAATAGGGACTATTATAACAGTTCAGGCCATGTGGATTAATTAAAGCATGCCTCACAAATGAGGCTTTTAAGGATATTTATAACATTCCTAAGCACGTCAAGCACGTCTCTGATTATCCAACCGGTCAGCCGGTTCCCTAGGCGCACTTCGAGAATAGAATCTGCAGTTCTGGAGCCCGGCCTACCCATCCAACCTGGCACACAACCCGGGTAGAAAAGGGCGTGCACTGTCACTTCCGTTACCACCCAGTCGGTCGAACCAACCGGGAGGTATCCATGGGTTATTTCCCTTCAAGGAGTCCTCCGATTCCCGGTCCTGTGGGAACCATCAGGGGCGGGAAGCATACGCGATCATCTCTTGAAATTTGAACTGCCCAGTCGATTTTTGGCGGGAAAATCGTCTCAGCAAACTAGCGCCAACCCAAAATATTTGAATTTCGAATTTTTGAAAACCCGGCTATCAAAGGCGGGAGAATCTTTTTTGAAATCGGGTATGGAGCCGCCGATTTGTCGTGCCGTTTCGTCTCCCCGAGAGGTTATGATTACGCATCATTATCGTCGCCACGTGTCATTCTGCCATTCGTCCGTCTGGGTAGCATCTCTCCTATATAAAGCGAGGTTCCCCCTTTTAATTTTCTCACTTGCAAATCTCCAACTAAAAATCTGCCTGGATGCTTCTACTATTTCACGAGTCCTCCGAGTCCTCTTGTTCCAAGTAAGCTTCCTTCTCTCTCCTTTTTCTTGAGTCATGTCTGACCGCGAAGATAGCCAGAACCCTTCCATGCATTCTTACGCTTCTGGTGACCGGTCTCAGACCTCCAGTTCCTCAACATCTTCTTCTTCTTCATCTGAGCGACCGGCTACTTCCCCACCGAAGAAGCCGGTCGACGCTTTCACTTGTGCCCCTTCTTCTTCCGTTGCACAAGTGGTCTCGGTTGCCCAGCCTGGGGACGAGGGCTTCATTCAGCTGGACGACCGGTTGCTCCAAGAGCAACCGTCGTACATTCAGAAACCTCAAATCCACGAGCTGCGTAACCTGATGCCTGATGGGTACCAACTGACCTACCGGGCAACGTGGAAGAACATTATTTCTCTCCACGTCGGTACGTCGATTGGTATCCATTACCATTCTATCCGGGACTTGGGTGAATTCTCGATTCACCCATTCAAAGTCCTCTTCCTTGAGACATACGGGATCATGCCCGGGCAGCTGGCCCCAAATGGTCACCGTATGTTGAGCAGTTTCATCAATGTCTGCCGGTTCCTTCTTATCCCTCTCTCCCTCCGTCTCTTCGATCATATGTTCGATGTCCGGCCCGGGTCCAAGGAAACCCTTGGATTCGTAGTTGTGTCTTCTCACCAAGGCCGGGCATTTCTCTGTGGCCTTCCTCCTTCTAACAAGAAGTGGAAGGACAAATATGTTTGTATCAAATCCCCCCCGGCTGCTTTCCCTTTTGCCCAAAATGTCTGGGGGAAGAGGATGAAGCGCTAGGTCAAACTCGCGGAGACCGATGACCTAGTTGCTTGGGAAACGACTCTCCGATCATAGAAGCCTCCACCCGCGGCCTCTACAACGTCGGGAAGTGGAGTGTTTATCCCGGCCGGGAGACTGATCCTGAGCCGGAGATTGTCCTGACCGGGGCGATCCCCGACGCCATCCCCATTCGCCGGGTGCGAGGGTCCAAAGCCCCGGCCACCGCCACCGCCGGTCCTTCACGCCCGGGGAGGAAGAAGAAGGAGAAAGGTTAATCTACCACCCTCCTCCACTCTTTCTTTCTAAAATTTTGCAACTCTTTTTTACTAACCGGTCTTTTTCTCTTTGTTTTAGTGGTGAAGTTTCAATCCAAGTTCGCCACCCCCAAAATTGTTACTAAGGAGCCCTCGACTACCCAGCCCCCCAACCAACCATCCGTCCAGCATTCCCCCTGGACGAGCAGCCGGCCCAATCTCATCAGGGGACCAGCCAACCAATTCACTCTAGGGAACTCTACATTAATGTAGATACCTTTGAGTTCGACACCCTGATGGGGGAGACCGGCCACACATCAGAGGCCGGGCTGGGAGGTCAACCCAACGAGGATGGCCATGGCGAAGAGGAGGCTGCTGAAGAGTCTCTTCAACGGAAGAAGCGGAAGGCTGAAGTAATCAACCAGCCGGCTCAGCACGTGGCCCAGTCCTCCGATGCCGGCAAAGGGCAAAGCCAGCCCTGGTCTATGGCTCTTATGTCTCGGTCGAACGAGGAGCTCTTTCAGGCTTTCTGCGCCGACCTACATGAGGTAATCTTCCCTTCTCCTTTTTGTGATTAAATTCTTTTTGTGACTTCTTCTGAAAAAATTTCATCCATCTAAAGCAGGTCGGCCAGATCGGCCACGAATGGTTCACCCGGCTGGTGAAGTCCCGGGACGAGGAGAAGGCTAGGATGGAGGCCATGGTGGTGGAGTGTCGGAAGGAGGCCAAAGCTGCTGTTGAGAAGGCGAAGAAGGCTGAGGAGAAGCTGATTGAGCATTGTGCGGCCTACCGCAAACTTTATGCTAAGCATGATGGATTGCTGAAGGCCGCAAAAGAGGCCGACGAGCAGGCTCAAGCAAAGATACAACAGCTGGAGGCCGAGAATGCCCGATCGGCCGAGGAGATTGCCCGACTTGGGGATGAGCTGGAGAAAGAACGGGCCGAACGAGCTTCTCTTGCAGCAGTCTGGGCGATTTAGGAACCAGAGGAGTTTGCTAGCCGGGCCATCGCTGATCGGGATGCTACCATCCGGCTGGTCCAAGGGCTCTACAAGCATGAGCCATCAGCCAAGGTCATTGATGAAATCGCGACCTTTGGCTTTGAAAGTGGCCAATATGATGAGCGGCGGGCGCTGTATGGCATTCTTGAGTAGCGGATCGAAGGCTTCAAGCCAAAGGCCCTTTCTCTGCCCGAGCTGCATGACGAGGCGCCGATCGCACCTTTCCCGGGAATCTGACCTTAGCCTTCTTCTCCTTTTGTTTTTTTATCTTTCATATGTAATGACTGGCCTCCGGGCCTTTATTGTAAGACTGGCCTCCGGGCATTTTTCCAATAGTAATGAAAGTTTTTCTTCCATTCCGTGTGTTGAGTGCCTGAGTACTTTATGTATTTTATACCCTATGTCTGTTATAGATTTTTCCAACTTGAACTTTTTTAACGCGTAGATTAGTAAGTAGCAGCCCGGCTGTAATTACTCGGTCTACTATACAACTTTACCCAGGTCCTTTCAAAAGATTAACTAGGAACCGGGGAGAGAATAGATTCGACTAATCTCCTCCCGGTCGGTTTATAGACCCGCGATGGCAATTGGACTTGTCCTTTCCGAAAGGATAGACTTCTGCCAGGGCGCTCATGAAGTCGACCTGTTTCCACAACGGCTTACTGCCCTTGTGGAAAGGTAAACCTTATATTTTCTTCAAACGTCTGACAAAACTGACCAGGATGCTCTCCCTTTAGTTACGCTGTTTGACTTCCGTGTTGGTACGGATGAAGTGTATGATTGGTTCGACCAATCTCTCTTCCTTATTTTTTTTTAAAGATGCCCAATTCGATTGGACATCTAACCGGGCAGATTGGTGTGCGACCAATTAATGGCTATGTACAAGAACAATCTTTCTGAAAAGATCAAAGTTTTATTAATAACCGGGGACTCATTGTTGTACCCGAGACCCGGGGTCTTAACGAGTAGCTATTTTGTGGCGGAATTGCGGAAGGAAATGGATGATGGAATTGAAGGGATGAAATATGGAGTGTGGGAAAGAGTTCTTTTTGGTGTTTTTAATTAATGAAGATAGAATAGAATGGGGTTTAGGAAGAGAAAATGGAGAGGAATGAAATGGGCAGAAAAGTGAAGGGATAAACCAAGTTGGTGTTAAGAGATATGACACACTCTTATCTAAACTTGGGGCTTTTATCTTCTTTTACACATTAATAATCACTACTAATGTATAAAATTAGACTCCTAACACGCATTCAAAAGTAGCCAACTTTAGAGATATTTCATTAGGAAATTTGGTTAAAATAGCAGCACACTATTTTAAAGGAATTACTCAAAAGAGTAAACAAGGTTTTTAATTCAATAATCTGGTTATGTTTACAATGACTATATGGCAGGAATATATATAGACTAAAAAGGAATACACTTAGCTAATAATACATACAACAAAACAAAACTGAAAGTAAGAGGAAGTTTCCTTATTTCTCATGCCATTTGCTCCCATTTTATCTTGGTGTGAAAAGTCCTTCATGGCTGATCTCCTTTGGATTTTAAAGACCAATAATCCTTGTCCTTTTTAGGTAGAAATTTCGTGGCTTTATGAAGATAACAAAGGGAAATCAAGCTTTTGATATTTGTGATGAAAATGCCAAAACAGCACTATTCATTCAATGACTTTTGTTTGTGATTTTTGTTCCTTTGTATCAAAAGTGATTATGCTTTTGTTTTATGAAAGAAAAGGCTTTATTCTTTGTTGAAATTCAGGGAATAATTTCAGCCTTGTACCCAAACTTAGGAAAGGAAAATAAGACTTGACAAACTTTGGGACTTCAAGGTTNCTTTATGAAGATAACAAAGGGAAATCAAGCTTTTGATATTTGTGATGAAAATGCCAAAACAGCACTATTCATTCAATGACTTTTGTTTGTGATTTTTGTTCCTTTGTATCAAAAGTGATTATGCTTTTGTTTTATGAAAGAAAAGGCTTTATTCTTTGTTGAAATTCAGGGAATAATTTCAGCCTTGTACCCAAACTTAGGAAAGGAAAATAAGACTTGACAAACTTTGGGACTTCAAGGTTCAGAGATGTAGGATAGTCGATTATCACTCTTTGATAATCGATCACCAAGATATGACTTCCAAACCAAGAATGTTCAGAGACACCCAATAGTCGACTGACACTCAAGGATAATCGATTAACAAGACTAGCACAAAACTGGGTATTTTCAGAGGATGGCGATAATCGATTAATAGCTTTGAGATAATCGATTGTGAAGGTTGCTGGTTTTGTAACAAGGAGTCAGAAGGATAGAATAGTCGATTATTAATTGTGTATAATCGATTATGCAGTTTTTCAGGATTGGAGGAGAAAGAAGGAAAGGCATTATTTGGGTAAAAGGTTTTGAAAAGATAAAAACAAGAAACAAAGGTTTTGGCTTTTATTTTCTTATCATTGTGATGGAAAAGACTTTATTTTTGATAAAAGAAAAGAAATAAAACTTTTGGATATGTTGGGAGAGTTTGGGTTTTGGTAGAGCTATCCAGGGGTACATCACTCATTACACTTTATCTAAAAAATTTACGCAAATGGTGAGAGTTCCAATGCCGGTCAACTCGGCCACCTTCCATGGTCTCCAGCTGGTAAGTGCCCGGTCTGATGATTGCCCTTACGCGATAGGGTCCTTCCTAGTTACGTACTAGCTTGCCTCTCTCATTAGGTTTACTGGCATCCCTTCTGCGTAAGACCTCATCATGCACTTGGAAGTACCGTGGGCCCACCCGGTTGTCATGATATCTCTTTAGTGACTGTTGGTAACCGGCCATCTTGACAGCTGCTATGGTCCTTCGTTCTTCCACCAGATTCAATTCAGCTAGGTGGTCGACCTCGTTCTGACCGGGCTGGTATACGGTCTCCCTAAATGTTGGAATTTCCGCCTCAACTGGTAACCGGGCTTCACATCCATAAGTGAGCACAAAAGGAGTCTCTCCAGTTGCCCTTCTTGAAGTCACTCTATGCGCCCAGACCGTGTGAGGCAAGGCTTCCAACCACTTGTGTCCTTCTTCACCCAATCTCTTTTTTAGCCCGTCCACTATAGTCCGGTTAGCATTTTCGACTTGGCCATTTCCTTGTGTGATGTACCCCGGGATGCTCCTACAAGCATGGAGGCTACGCCACAAACCATAAAACAAATCAAAGGTTTAATATCTAAGTGTTATGATCCTTTTTGGGCTGAACTCATTTACCTTTCGTATCCTAAAACCCAAACCATAACCCTTCTCTTCCAAAGCCTTTCTTGACATTAAACCATTCCATATCCTTCCCAAAATATCCAAAAGTCTTTTATTTTCATTTGATGAACAAAATAAAGTCCTTTCTCTCCTTTTTAGCCCTGAACAAAAATGAGGTCAGAAGGACAAACCTTGTGTATTGTCTCTACTTCTTTTGTTCTTTTACCCAAAAATCAGGCCACATTATGTTTTAATCAAGACAAAATTCAACCCACAAAACAAAAACAAAAATCAGGAAAAGTTTTCCTTGATTGAACAGTGCTGATTTTGTCCTGTTGTTCAAAACCCAATCCCCTTCATATCCTTCAGCATATGGCCGAATTTCCCACTCCAAATATCTATAAACACAACCCCATTTACCAAGGATAAAGATAAAAACATCAAGGAGCCAAAACCATTGATTGAATAGTGCAAACTTTGTCATATTATCCTTAATTATCAAAGTTACAACTTTCCTTGATTTCCTTCTCACATGGCAGGAATTAATGAACCATACTAAGCCAAAATCCCAGCCTTTTAAACTCCTTTTCCTGGTCAATGAGTGCTGCCCACTAAGATTAATAACACATGGATATTAATCACATGATTTGTAGGAAAGTAAAGTGTAATTTCCCTTGTTTTACATTATATATTTCAGCCATGAGGCCTTGTAAACACCATCTCATTCTCATTATTAATATTACTCTTGAAGTATTCCCTGAATTAGTGTGAAGCTAGTTCAATCCAGATCCTAATGAAATATTTTACTAAAGTTGGCCACTTTTGAGTGTGTGTTAGGAGTCTATTCAATACTTTAATAGTGATTATTATTGTATAAAATAGATAATAGCCCCAAATATATATAAAGAGTGTGTTTATCTCTTACATATTATTTGGTTTATCCTTATACAAAAACCACAAAACATTTCCCTTCTTTTCTTCTAATCCTGATCCTGAACCTATAAATAATCGATTATCCTTGTTTGATAATTGACTATTGTAGTCATCAGATTCTTCTTCAAAATCTGCAGCCTCAAATAATCGATTGTCTTGTAGTGTCAATCGACTATCTGGTTCCTCTGAACATTCCCAGTTTGAGCTAAACCCTATTAATCGATTTACCATATGTGCTAATCGATTATCCCATAGTTCTGAATCCTGAGTGAATCTGTTCCTATTTATCTATCCTAAGTTTGGGTACAACATTTGGTATCAAAGCCTAGTTGTTAACATCTCTAAAGGACCAAACACACTTCCCTCACCTTCCTAATCCTTCCTTGATACGTTATCCCAAATACATCACACAAAGGCCACAAATCAGCCCAACCAAACACCATGTCAAATACCACTCAAAACATGACCCATGAAGAACTTGTGGCTTCAAATGCAGCCCTGCAAGCTCAAGTTGATTATCTAGCCAAGCAAATAGCCAAGCTCACTAAACAAAAGCTAGCTATGTTGCAATCCCGTGATGATGAAGAAGAAGCTAGTTCCAGTGCCACCATAAGAACTAGAGCTCAAGATAAGTCCGGTTCTGATTTCAAAGTGGATATTCCCATCTTTGAAGGAAAGAATGACCCAGATGAGTTCCTTGAATGGCTGGAAACAGTGGAAAGAGTATTTGATTTTAAAGAAGTATCCGACGAGAAAAAGGTCAAGATTGTAGCCTTGAAGTTTCGGAAATATGCATCTACCTGGTGGTCCAACATCAAAACCAAGAGGAGTCAAGATGAGAAACCCCCGGTTGATTAAAAAAAGGTAAGTTATACAATTATGCATCCAATTTCGAAAAAAATAATTATGGTAAGAATAGTTATACACCCAATTTCAAAAAAAGTTAACCCTTCTTATTATAATTATAATAGCCTATAGCCTATTACAATTAAATATACTATAAATATTCCCACAAATTATACAATAATGTAGTCTATAAAGAAGTTTTCGAAATTTGTAAAGCAGTGATTTTTTTTACCTTAAAATAGTATAATCTCTATATTCTATTGCATCTCATTTTTATCAATAATAAAAAAATAATTTAAATTTAATAACATAAAAATGAGCCGTGCAACGCATGGGTCTGATACTAGTGATTCTTAATTTAGAGTTGCTATAAAATAAAATAAATAGTCTATTCTAAAACTTACATATTACGGAGTATAAGTTTTTCATAAATTATACTCCCTTTGTTTTACAAAAAAGTTCCATTTTAAATAGTATTTAGTTAAATATTTACACGCTTTGACTACAAATTGTGAGAAAAGTATATTGAATTATAAAATAAATTTAATATAATTGGATTCATCTTAGGATCTAGTTTTGATATTTCAAATTTTTTAGCATTTCTTTATTTAGATTATATTTAATTTATGGTAAAAACGTGTAACTGTTTGACCAATTTATTGTCAAAATGAGAACTTTTTCATGGGGCGGAGGGAGTATTATATTATAAGAATCATATACATAAAATTACATTTTTAAAATAATTACAAACATGCAAGTAACAGCCAACCACCAACTTTCAAACAAGGCCTTAATTTATTAGCATTATTAATGATCGTTTGAATATAATATGAACGTGAAATCTTTAAACTTTGATAAATGAAGCCTAATTATAGAGTAATATATTGTGTAAATTACATTTTACCATTTTAAAACATTTTAATTTTAATTTTTTAAAAGATGATTAGAGATGAAATCTAGAATATATTTTTTCATTTTACGCCTTTACGGTGACTCTTTATAAAAAAAATCCAAGGGGTGGAGTGGAGGCGGACTACCATGAACCCTTGTACTAATGTGTCCCCGGTCATATTAATTTCTAGATCCGACACTGTATATCATTTAATATAAAATTTAAGAGTTGATTAATTAAAATTATGACATGTACTACCTCCGTCCCGTTATATTCGTCCACTTTTGATTTTTGGGACTGTTCATCTAAGCACTTTGACTCATCAAATTCTCTCAATGTTTCTTAACATATAGATTATTAATATATAATTTCTATAATTTTTTAATATACAAATTACAAGATAAAATGGATTAAAGAAGTGTTTTGAATGGTGTGCAAAAATAAAAGTGGACAAATATAGTGGGACGGAGGGAGTATAAATTAAAAAGGTTTAATTTTTGAACACATAGCCCTTTCACGCCTCAATACACCATTTCGAAAGGTTTGTAGTTCTCCAGGCAATTCGGTTCTCCAAGAATCTTTCAAGGGTTTTCCAGTTGGACTCAATCCGAAGCCGAAATTCGCAGCGGATTCATCTGGGGATGGGGGTCGAGATTGAACGGTTGAGAACAGTGTGGACTCCGGATATGGACAGATATTTCGTGGACCTGATGTTGGAGCAGGTCGGGAAATGGAACGGCGCCGATCATCGCACCTTCAGCAAGCAAGCCTGGAATCAAATGGATTGTTACGTTTGACCCACACGGAAGTTGCTTCTGAAACTCAATCCAGGTATTCTCTGTTACTCTATGGAGCATGACGATGACCTTTGCTCAACCACAACTGCCGCAAGTCAATACTCTCTTTCTATTGCCAAAATGGTAAAATTCTAATATAGCACTCCATATTGATTCTCTGAATTATTGTTTAGCCATTAATTAGAGGTTGAATTCACATCATCCTATGATTATTTTTGAGTTATTTGATGTCCATGTCCGTTGATTACATTTTTTATTTTCTTAGGAATTGATTAACACCAACACTTTAAAATGTGCCCATTTTTTGAGTGTTTTACACAATTAATAGTTATATTTTTGGAATATGTGAATTTGTGATTTGTAGATTGTTTGATTAATTATTTATCAGCCCTAAGATTGTTTTTCATTTTTCCCCAGTTTCAGTTGGCATTAGATTATCAAAGAAATTCGTCTCTGAGTTCATAGCCCTCAGAAAAATCAAAGTTGAATCCAAATGTTAAGGTAAGTAGTCAAGTATCTAGATTAAATTTTAAAAAGATTGGTGCACTTCAATTGTTCGATGAATTGCCTGACAAACCAAATGGAGTAGCGAAAGGGGTCAACACTAGGGAGTTCTGTACCCAAACGTTATACTCAAGTATGACATTGCGTTCTCAGCTTCATTGAGGGTCAAAGGTCACAATGTTCCAGGCAGCGCGAGTAGGCAATTCTGACCAAAATTCCTAAAAAAATGGTTGCTGCCTTGCCTTCCCAATTTCCTGTCACCTCACCCTTCTGCCACAGTCCCATATGGTATCTCCAAATCTATTTCTCCTCTTTTTTTATTTGTATTGAATTCCTATTTTTTTGGTTTTTATTTAATATGTAATAAAGATCTATTTAATATTTCTTGGCAGGGGAATGAAGATCTATTTATAGTTCATGATCCTCTAGAATATGGAAACTGTCGATCATCTCAAATTGGGAGTAGCAATGAGCTCTTTATAGCAAAACATTCAAACTGTGTCATGTTATGTGCATTCCTATCACCATTAGTATTCTTCCAATAATAATGACGTGCGACTGGAAATGCATGTGCGTATCTGCACATACCAAAGTATGGAATATTCGAGAATGTGAACACATTGAAGGATCTAGCAGAAATGCCACATTGGACACCTGAGAGACCCTTGAGAGTAGCTACGGGTTTCACATATGCATGGTGTACTGCAGTGTGACATATTCATCTTCTTTTTCCCACATACAGAGTATATATTATTGTGGTCACAATTATTACGTTTAAGTTTGATGATATTTTTCCCTTAACATCCTTCATTTCTTTCACAGATAGGGCCCAAGTTTATGAATGAAAAAGGACTAAATCATGTTACCTTTTCTACTCCAGATGGAGCACTGAAGGCTACTCCAGCAGTAAGACCAAATTTACCGATTTTAAACAGATTCAGTTTTCTCAAGTCCCGTCTTATTGAGATTGACTGTGAGTTTTCTTAAGTCCAATCTCATTAAGATTGACTGTTTGTATTGTACTACGTATATAAATGAAATACTTCTTCTCTTTTTCACAAATCGATTACTGCACTTGATGTTAAGACTCGCCTGAGAGCCATGTTTGTTTTTCCTATATTTGTTGCATAAAAGAAATATGTCGTTCTATTTTAGATGTTATGGTTTGCTCTTTGAAATTTTATCACATTTGTTCTTTTCCAGCATTTCTTTTGGTGATCTTCAAATACAATCGCACTTTCAATTTCTTTTGAGCATGTAAAAGTTTTTTTAACCTATCATGGTTCCCTAATGTATGGGACAACACTGGGTAGGTTGTTGTTGCTGTTATCATTTCCTCATTTCTTCCTAATATAGATGGGGATAGTCGATGCAATTGTAGACCTTGTGAGCAGTGGAACAACTTTGGGAGAGAACAATCTGAAAGAGATTGCAGGTGGAGTCATCTTGCAAATTCAGGTAATTTTT